ATATATATATATATATTTTATGTGTATATATATATATAATATATATATATACCATGCGCGCGTGCGTGTGTGTATAGATATGTGCTTGGGTTTTTTATTTTTTAACAAAACGAGTATTTTGCGCAAGTGATTTGTGCCTCCCCCGTGCCCTTTGTCATCCCGCGCCTCCCCATGTTCCCACAGCTATAAACTCTGGTCTCTTTAAATCTTTCTTTTATCACCAGGGGACCCATTTAGTTCCTCCAAGTCCAGGACATTCATCATAGAAGGTACCCAGTACCCTCAGCCCGACTATTGACTTTCGTGTCCAAGCTGCATTTTATGAGACAGTGATTTTATTTACACGACTCTTTCCCCCTGATGACAAACTTCTCCATAAAATGCATAGGGGAAAATAAAGTGCCCTCTGAGAACATCTTGCAAGTGAGGGAAAAGCCCCGCCCAGGCCCCGTCCTGTGCATGCCCCCGCCCCGCCTGGCGTTGCTGCGATCCTGGATCCTCGGGGCTGGCTGCCAGGCCTCCTCCTGATTTGGGGATGCTGTGATCAGTGCCTGAAACCCTGACCCTGGATGGGCGGGGGAGGATTGGGGGCAGGTCCCCACTGGAGCAGACATGCCGGAGACCCCAGAATATGTGGCCCCCACAGGTCTTATCTTCGCCATAGTTCATGTCTGCTAAGCTCCTGCCTCAGCCAGCCCGAGCCGCCCCGCACACAGCACGCAGGCTCCTCCGCGAGCATCCCGGCTGGTGCGGCACTCATGTCCCTGGGAGGGCTGGGCCACTTGCCATCCTCACCCCTTGCTGTGTGGCCTGACCTCCCCACTGGAGTGCAGCATTGTCCCCCTTGAAGAATACCTGTGTGAGCCGGGAAACTCGAGCCCCGGAGCAGCCTCTAGCCCTGGGTGGCCTCTTCCCACCCCTAAGCTAAGGGCCCCCAGGACCCCACACCACAGGCAGGCGTGGGTCTCCCTGGGGACTGGGCTGTGTTCCATGATGGCAGGGCTCCTGCCTGCCAACTGGCACTGCCACCTGACCCCTCCCATGTATTATTTGTGACATGGCAGGAGTTGCCAGGGGTCTTGGCAGCAGCTGCATGGACTTGGTCCTGCTTCTGTCAAACGGCATTAAATATTGAGGCAAAGGGCAGTTGTTCTTAATTGTCCCTGTTTCTGAGGCCACCAACATCACCGTTGGGCAGAAGCGCAGGGCGCCATGCCCCTTTGTGTGGGCTTCACGCCCAGCCTGCCACTGCCTGGGACCCTGGGGAACCCAGGAACCTTTGCCCAGGACCCCTGCCCTCCAGGGCCAGCTGCAGGCTCTTGCAGGCTGCCAGTGTGGCCTTTACTCCCAGGCGCCAGGGGACTCCCCTCTGCATGGAAGGGCACTGCACTCTGCTGTCCCCGTTAGGAGGGAGCTGTGCCCGGGAGACAGGCTGGGAACAGGGGTGTCCTCAGCTTCCCTCTCTCCAGCATGTGGTCTTAAGCCTTGGCTGAAAAGAATTGGGCACTTATGCTGCATGGTTGCAGGTACCCCAAGAGTGTTTCTAAAGAACCCGCAGGCAGTCAGGCCAGGCACCGGGACTTGGGGTTTGGATGTGGGCAGGTATCTTCCTGGGACCCTCAAGCCTCTCCAGCCGACACTATTGGCCTTCACGTCCACCTGTGTCAGCAAAGTGGTGACCCATTGGTGGTCCAAGTGGGGTCCAGACTCCCCTGCCAGCCAGCCCTCCTCCCTGGGATGGGCAAAGAGGAGCCCAGTCCCTGACCTTGGAAGGAAGGGAGGACGGGGCTTGGCCTGCAGGCGTGGAGGCCCGGGTGTGAATTTTTAGGGGTCTTGGGCACACGCCCACTGAGGCCACCACCCCAGAAGCCCCAGCTACCTTAGCCTTCTACTTAAAAAGGGGACCTTGGCCAGGGGTCAGTGTCATGCTTTGTTTTAGAAACACTTGTTCGTCAACTCTACTTCCCACACTGCCTCGGGCAGTCGGACTTGCAAGCACTGTATGGGGCCTGGGAGAAATCTGGGGAGCAGGTCTCACCCTGCAAGGCTGAGACATTGGAAACTTAAAATTTGAGGCCAAGTTCTGTTTTAAAAGCTCCAAAATCCCCATGAGCTGAAACAGCCTAGGAAGGAACGAAACCTGGCAGGTTTTTATTTCTCAGAACCTTTCTTGAGTCTTAGGAAGAATCCACTGTGCAGGCGGGGGAGGCTCCCTTCTCTCATTTAAAAGGAAGGCCTGGGGTCTCAGTGACTTTGCGATTCTCCGCTGTCCAGTCTTCAGTTCGTTTCCAGAGTATGTAGAGACTGTGACCGTTCTGCTGTAGGCCTTGGGCCTTCACAGGAGGGTCACCCAGATCCCCATCTTGCTAGGAGCAGAAGCCACCGCTGTCCTGTGCTGGGGGACACACTCCCGCCTGGGATGGGGCTGACTTGAGAAGCAGGGGCCTGGCCCACATGGGGCTGTCCATGTCTCTAGCTCTCCTGGACACGAAGGGAGCTCCAGCCTTAGGGCCATCCAGGGCCCCACGCCATGTCCTTTGTCCCTACAGATGCCATCTACACTTCTCCCTTCAATTCTCCAGATCCCACTGAGGATGGGAATAGCCCAAAGTAAGCAGACCAGAAACAGGCAAACACTGCGTTTGCTTCCTGTTGTCTTCCCCCAATCTGTCTGTGATCCTGACCTGTTACCTGGTTCTGCTTGAGGATCAGGCTCCCTGGTTCTTCCCTGGACTAGAGAACTCCCCACTTCTAGACTCTGGAACCACATTCTTCGGTCTCATCTGCCCTCATCCCTCTAATCTGCCACAGAAACATCCCAGTCCATCCAGAACGCATTTTTCAAGGATTCCATATGACTTGTAACTATTAGGGGAAGTCATTTTCAAGACCAGGTTTTTGGAATGAGGTTCACTTTTTTCTGTCGCCCTGAAGATCCCCTGCCACACCTGACCTCGGAGCCAGGAAGTACACTGCTTGCAAGACGTCTTTGCAGCACCCTGTCCCTGCTCCCAGCGCCTCGCCTGTATTTGCAGAATGTTCCCAAGCTGGGCCCTGGGCCCCTGGCCATCCCCCAACCTGTGGTTTCCCCTTCTCTCATGACAGAGACCGTGCGTGCCATGACCCACGTCATCAACCAGGGGATGGCCATGTACTGGGGCACGTCGCGCTGGAGCTCCATGGAGATCATGGTAAGGTGACCTCGGGTGTGTGGGGGTCCACAGGCATGGGCTCCTGCCCCGCTCTGTGGATGGAGATCCCGGGGCTCCGGCAGATTCAGGGCTATTGGTCCCAGAGGCACAGATAACTGTGAAGTGTGGCAGTCCTGGCTGCAGGCCTTATAGACAGAGGTCTTGGCTTCAGCACTGGGTGGCATTTATCTGTATTAAGACAGGAGCTTAACCTCTCTAAGCCTTACTTTCTGCACCTGTAGAACAGGACTGCGAGCATGACCTCCCCTTCATGAGGCTGTGCTGAGGATTATCAGAGCAAGTGTGAAGCTCTTAGCAGAGGTCCTGGAGCTCAAGTGACAAGTCTCAGGCCCTGGCACTGAGCTGTCTTGATCTTCCAGGTGCCGTTAGATTTAAGGGCTTTGTGCCCTGGCTGGTGTGGCTCAGTTGGTTGGAACGTTATCCTGTGCACCAAAAAGGTGGCGGGTTCAATTCCTGGTCAAGGCACATACCTGGGTTGCTGATTCCATCCCAAGTCAGGGCACATTTGGCAGGCAGCCAATCCATGTTTCTTGCTCACATTGATGTTTCTCTCTCTCTCTCTTTCCCTTCCTCTCCCTAAGATCAATTAAAAAAAAAAAAATTAAGCAGGATTTTCATTTCTAGTGAAACACAACCCTAGCAGCCCCTCGCATCATCAGCTTTGGCTGTGGCATTAATGAGCATTTGGCATACTTCTGAAGCATCTTCTCCCCATTTCACTGAGTCTCTACCTGGAGGGGAAAGGGCCTCCCAGGCTGGCAGACAGGGCTTCCCCAGGGGCCTGTCTGCAGACATCCGCCCTGGCTCTTTGACAATCTGATCTGCGGAATTGAGGCCTTAAGCTCCAAGTTCCAGAAGTGGGCTGATGCCAGCCACTCTCCCTCCTCACTGACCATTTTCTGCCAGTGGCATCATCCCAGGTCCAGGGCCCTGGAGTGACAACCATGACAAAAACAGTAACCATGCAGCAAGCATGCACTGAGTGCTCCCTGCTCGTGCCAGGCACTGTCTTGAGGGCTGCAAACACCACTGGCTCATTTGGCCTTTACAACAGAAGGGGAAGCTGAGGCCCAGAGGGGTGAGGCCCTTGCCCAAGGCTACCTGGCCAGTAATGCCAGAACCCAAGTCTCACTACTGGATTGTACTTTCCCCTCAATTCCTTCAGCCAGCCCTTTTCCCACCTCATGGTGGGAACCTAACAGGCTCCCAGGAAAGCTGAGAAGTGGGGAGGGGTAGGTGGGCCAGTCCTTCCCTGGGATGCCTTTGTATCTCTTCCCTGCTGCCTGGGCAGCCCCCACACCACAGGGACCACCTCACCCCCTTTGCATCCTCAGGAAGCCTACTCGGTAGCCCGGCAGTTCAACCTGATCCCGCCCATCTGCGAGCAGGCCGAGTACCACATGTTCCAGCGAGAGAAGGTGGAGGTGCAGCTGCCTGAGCTCTTCCACAAGATTGGTGGGCACCCTGTCCCCCATTACCCCACCCCCTGCACAG